AATACAAACAAAAAAAAAAAACGTCAGCATAAAAAATTACGTTACAATATCTTCTTGACATGCCTTGGAAGCGATCAAATGCTGCATCAATTGCAGCGTCAATTGCAGCGTCGTCTGCCTTCCCGTTTCTCGGCTTCTTGTTGTTGCTAGTGTACTGTACGAGTCATAAAACCCCGTTATTTTCCTTGATCCAAGCGTAAGCGCTTTCACAGCTTCCTTACATTGCTACTCGACCCCCTTTTGTTGCCGCTGTGACTGCCTCTGTGTCCATTGCTGATTTCTATCTTGGCCATCGCAGCCACGTCCGCTTGGTACATTGCGTTGGACTGTATTCGCTCCACCAGGTCCGCCTTGCGCCCACTCGTGCGGAGGCCTATTGCAGAGCGGTGAGCCGTCTGTAGGATAGTTTAAATTGCTGCGGACTGAGACACAGACGCACCGAAGTTGCGGCAAATCTCCGCCAGCTCCTTGACGCGCATTTTCGAGAGATCCATGGTGGATTGGGACTTGTTTAAGGAGAGCAGATAGAGAAAGAAAGATGCTAGCTGTTAGTGAGGATTGCGGCGGTGTGTGTACTATAGAGGCGTGGTCAGACTGTGGGTTAGCTTCCATCAGCTTAGACGTACCAATGCGTGAATAGTGATGGATTGGCTTCGACGGTGTCGAGCTAAGTACAACTGGTACTTCAAGGCTGATGTCACTAAACTAAAGTGTACAGATGAGACGAAAAGATGCTTACAAACCTAAGTACGAATCACGATTTAAACACACCATTAGGAAGGGAGTGTTCCTCTTTCCGTTGATGTCTTCGGACCCTTGAAAAGTTGAAGACAGTGTCTCCATGAAAAATGAAAATTCTCTAATTTTTTTGTTTGGTGTCAACATGGACAGTTTGGCGTCTACAATCGGGGTGTTTACGAGTGATATCCCAAACCACAGGGGTATTTCTTGGATTTTTGGGGTCAACTCTACCAATTCTACTAAATTTTGGATAATAGACAGAAAGATCAAATTGATTTACTGCCAATGGTCGCAAGGTCCAAAGGCGGTGACCGCCAGACTGGAATCGTTCTCCCATTGCGAGAATGCTCTCTTGGAGCATGTCCAAGAAAAGATGAACGCTGCAACAACGGAAGTGTCGGTGACGCGTGAATGATCTGTGCGACCGAAATCGCTCTTGGTTAGCGTGAAAACCTTCGAGGGAAAAAAGGAGAGAATCTCTTTGTCAGGACCCGTGCGTTTGAGATGGCAACGGGATCGACCCTGCTCCAATTTGAGCAACAGCGCGTCGCGCTCGTGAGCGGGCACTAACGTGCGGTTTGTCAGTTGATACTACTTTCCTCACTTGGGATCAGCTGAATCAGCAAATGGCGCGCATATTTGCTCCGCCTAATCGGGCGTACCGTGTTTGGTCACAATTCTTTCTTACCCTGAAGGGTAAGAAGGAATTGCTGGACTATGTCCAAGTGTTAAGAACTCTAATCGCCGGGATGCCGGTGTATCCTCTTCCAAAACTGGTCACTGTGACCGTGTTCATGGAGGGACTCCGCGTGAGCGCAGCTCAAACGGAAGCATTCCGTGTACACCCGACCTCTTTCGAGGAGGCAGTGAACGTGGCATTGAATGCCGAACACAACTTCAGGTCGGCTCGACCTGGTTGGAGCGCTAGTACCGCGAGCTCTTCGAGCGGCCCGGAACCGATGGTCCTCAGCTAGGCTGAAAATGAAGAAGCGTCTGAGGGCGAGCTGCCCTTTGCGCTTCAAGCGCAAGGCTCCGACGAGCCAACCCTCCGAGTCATTGCCGGGAAACGGCAACTCCTAGTAGGCACAGAGCGGCCTAGTGGGGATGAACTGAGTTCTGTTGTGCCTCGACGAAGCCTTTGCCAGAAAAGCAGTGTGACTTTATTGACGCATTCTTTCACGCTAGGAGTGTTGGTGTGTGAGAGCAAATCTGCGCACTCGACACCCATATTTTGTGTCAGAAAGCCGAATGGAAAGTGACGTATTGTTCACGCTTTCAATAAGCTAAATGCAGACGCCGATTCCTTACAAGGGTGAGGATGCTCTACAGAACAACATGGTGGGATATGCTGTGTACATTGC